GTAGTCCCAGCTACTCGGGAGGCTGAGGCAGAGGATCGCTTGAGCCCAGGAGTTTTGAGGTTGCTGTGAGCTAGGCTAACACCACGGCACTCTAGTCCGGGCAACAGAGCGAGACTCTGTCTCAAAAAAAAAAAAAAAAAAATTCCGTTTCTCAGTTTCATTAGCCCCTGAAGTGCTCAAAAGCCACATTTGGCAAGTGGTTAATATATGAGACAACACATACATAGGACGGTCTTATCATCACAGAAAGTTCTAGAGGTCAGCACTACTCCAGTCCCTGGTAAAAATTCAATCCTAAAGTCCTCACAGTTCCTTGAGGGATTAGGCATCAATGGATAAAAGTAGGAATTGGTGTAAAAGTTCAAAACCTTGTAGGGCTCCCTCTTTTCTTTGTTCTTGAAACATATAGTATTAAGTCCACAACGTCCTTTAGTCCTAGACAACCACTTAATTTCTAAGCAGCCTTCATACCTGACTGAGAGTGTTTACATTTCACAGAAGCAAAGTGTAGCCTAGTGGTTACACGCAAGGGCTCTGAAGTCAGCAAGACTTGGGGTTTGAGCTATCAGACCTTGGAAAAGATACTTAGCTTTTGAGACTCAAAGTCCATAAAATAGACTTGATAATGATAATAAACATCTAATAGGACTGTTACGATAATCAAATGAGATCAAGGACCTAAAATAATTATTAAAAGTAAGACTTATTCAGATGGTGCTGGGCCAACCAGATATTCACATGTAAAAGAATGAAGATGAACCCTTATCTCACACCATATACAAAAATTAACTCAAAATGGATCAAACACCTACATTTAAGAGCTTCAACTATAAAACTCTTAAACCAAAATGTTTGATTCGAAAAGGAAACATAGGTATAAATCTGGGTGGCCTTAAATTAGGCAATGGTTTCTTAGCTATGACATCAAAAACACAAGCAACCACAGAAAAAAATAAACTTCAAAATTAAGAGAGAAAGTGAAAAGATAATATACAGAATGGGAGAAAGCATTTCAAATCATATGTGATAAGAGTCTAGTATTCAGAATATATATAAAGAACTCTTACAATTCAACAGTAAAGGCAACCCAATAAAAAATGGGCAAAGGATCTAAATACATATATCTCCAAACAAGATAAGCAAAGGCCAATAAGCATAAGAAAAGATGTTCCACATCATTAGCAATCAGGGAAATACAAACCCAAACCACAGCAGGATGGCTATAATCAAAATGACAGACAAAGTGTGAGGATGTGGACAAACTGGAATCCTCACGCACTGCTGATGGGAATGTAAAATGGTCCACTTTGGAAAAGAGCTTGGCAGTTCCTCAAAAGGTTAATCACAGAGCTACTATATGATCAATTCCACTCCTACGAATATACTCAAAAAAATGAAAACATGTCCAGGTAAAAACTTGTACACAAATGTTCACAGCAGCAGCATTACTTATAATAGCCAAGAAGTAGAAACAACCTGATGTCCATCAACTCATGGATAAATGTGGTATATCAATACAAATGAATACTATTGACCCACAAAAAAGAAATGAAGTACTAATCCATGCTACAACGTGGAAGAACATTGAAAACATTAGGCTAAGTGACAGAAGCCACACACAAAAGGTTACATGTTATATGATTCCATGTATATGAAATGTCCAGAATAAACAAATCCATAGAGACAAAAGTAGATTAGTGGTTGCCAGGGGCTAGAGAGAGGGGAAAATGGGGAGTGACTGTTAATTGGTATGTGGTTTCTTTGCAGTGATAAAAATGTTCTGGAATTAAACAGTGGTGATGATTGCACACCTTTGTGAATGTAATAAAAACCACTGAACTATATACTTTAAAGGAGCAAATACTATGGTATGTAAAGTATATCTCGATTTTAAAAAAAGGGTTCATGAATGACCAAAAAAAAAAAAGACATAAAAATAAAAAACCCAGTATTAAACATGGAGAAAGATCAAGAAAATAAATCGTCTTAAGAAAAAGGGAAGAATATAAGCAAATATAGAGATAGAAATATACTAAATTATTTTCCTAAATTTCTTTTTTGTTTCCTTCTGAACTATCCCTCATTATGTCTTTCTTTGTCCCTGGTCTCAGTCTAACCCTAACAGATAAAAAAGTAATCCTTTATTTTCCTATTGTAACTAAACAATTTTTTCCCCCAAAACTCTACAACTGTCTAAAACTCATGTTACTGATATTATCTTAGTAAATTTCATTTACTATATATAACATTTTGACATTTGAATTTGTAGGTGTAGGTAAACATACGAATTTCAGACAAAATAATGACTGAATAAAGAAAAAGCAAGCAAGTTCAGATGTGCATACACACTACTCCACTACAAGCAACACCTCACTCCTCCTACTTTACCCACACACATTTTCCAGCTCAGCTGAACCCAAGTCAACAAATTGCTGATGATATACAACATAAGCAGTAATGTGGAAGTAAACCACCCAAAGGTCACCAGATTGCTTCTTCAACAGTGATTATATGCTACCCACTCACTATACTGACACTGCAAGTCAATCTCAGCAAAAGCAAGGCATGAATTGAAAACGAAAATAGGACTCTGTCTCAAAAAAAGGGGGGGGGGGACAAATGACCTAATTTTTAAAAGGGAGAGGAGCAAAAGATTTGAAGAGACAATTCACCAAAGAAGATTTATGGAAGGTAAATAAGCACAAGAAAAGATACTCAACACATCATTAGTCATTAAGAAAATGTAGGCCAGGCGCGGTGTCTCACGCCTGTAATCCTAGCACTCTGGGAGGCCGAGGTAGGCGATCACTTGAGCTCAGGAGTTCGAGACCAGCCTGAGCAAGAGCGAGACCCCCCCCCCCCCGCCCCGCTCGTCTCTACTAAAAATAGAAAGAAATTGGCCAAACTAAAAATAGAAAAAATTAGCTGGGCATGGTGGCGCGTGCCTGTTGTCCCAGCTACCTGGGAGGCTGAGGCAGGAGGATTGCCTGAGCCCAGGAGTCTGAGGTTGCTGTGAGCTAGGCTGATGCCACTGCACTCTAGCCCAGGCAAGAGAGTGAGATTCTGTCTCAAAAAATAAAAAGAAAAAAAAAAAAGAAAATGTAAATCAAAACCACAATGGGACACTACTACACACTCACATAATTCTAAAAATTAAGAAGATACACAGTAACAAGCATTAGCAAGGATGTGGAGGTACTAGAACTCACATATGCTGCTGGTGGCAATGTAAAATGATGCAACTATTTTGGGAAACAGTTTGGTGGTTTCTTAAGAAGTTGAACATCTATCATATTATGCCAGCCATTCCACTGCTAGGTATTTACCCAAGAGAAATGAAAGCACATATCCATACAGAAACTTGTACACAAAGGCTCATGACAACCTTATTTGTAATAGTCAAAAACTAGGAACAACCCAAACGTCCATCAACTGTTGAATGGATAAACAAATTGTGGTTATGTCTCAGCAATAAAAATAAATACACAGGCCGGGCGCGGCGGCTCA